CCCCGCTGCCTGCAGAGCATCCCCCCCATCTCCCCGCCAGTCCCGCTGCCCCATGACGTCATGAGCCTTCTCCTCACCCACCCGGGGTGAGGTCACTCGTGGTGCAGGCTGTACAGCCTGGCCCATGCTGGTGGGCAGGATCTGGCCCTCCTCCTGCCTGGGGTGGCTGTGCTGCAGGGGTCTGACACCCTTCAGCTGCTTGTGGGGCCCCCACGGTGATACTGGGGTGTCTCTCCTGCTCCAAAGATCCCAGAGTAGAGAACAGACCACAAACAGTCTCCAGTCCCCCCATGCCGGCCAAAATCCCCTGATGACCCCGCCCTGGGGATGCTGTAGCCCACCCTGAACATCCCCAGTGCAGCATCCTGACTGCAAAACCTGTGTCCTGGGACCCCCAGCCCGGCTCCAGCTGCCCACACCGGGATGGGGCCAGGGTGGGAAGCAGGGGTGCACAGGAGTGGAGAGCACAGTGCCCCTGTGAACGGGACTGGGGGATGCCCAGACCTGGGGCTGGATCCAGGACAAGTGCTGAGTTGGTGCTGGGGTGTCCAGAGCAGGACTGGGAAAGATGGGAAGTGCCCAGGACTGGGACTCGTGGGTGCAGGACCCAGGCTGGGACGAGGAGCAGGAACAGGACTGCCCTGGACCAAGAATGGGGCCAGGAGGGCACCAATGAATGGGATAAGGACAGGAGCCAGGACCCCTGGTCATGTCCAGAAGCAGCACCGGGGGATACTCAAGAGCAGGACCAGGGGATGCCCAAGAGCGGGACCAGAAGCAGGATTGAGGGATTGCCCAGGGCAGAACCAGGAGCGAGACCAGGAGCAGGGAATGCCCAGGAGCAGGCTGGATTGCACTGCACCGGACGAGGGGTGCGCAGGGCTGGAACCAGAACCGGAGGGTGGATGCCCAGGAGCAGGGCTGGGATAACCGAGACGAGTAATGGCTGTCCAGGAGCGGGACCGCGAGCAGGCTGTGCCGGTGTGCGGATGCAGGTGCCGGTGCGGGAGCGAGGGGGT